AGAGCACTTTCGTTAGAGTTTTAATGAAGATAAAATACTAAAAAGGTTATGGAAAAAATCAAACAAAAAATATTTTACGCCAGCTTCACGATATTTAGACAAAAGTTCCAATCAAACCGAAGTTTTAGAATGCAAACCACCTCAATCTAAGTCACAAATACCTTCATTTATTCCACAAAATTTAGAAGAAATGTCATCGGCTCCCCAAACATATAAACCTCAAAGAGAGAAATTACTACAAAAATCTATTCAAACTTGATTAGAATCAAACCGAAAGGCTATAAGGCTGCAACTAGACCAACACCACTAGGAGATCCTCAAAACAAACCTGGTTAAATGACCACTCTTTTTGCCCGCGGAAAAGACTATTTAGTTTTGGATCGAACTATAAAACTAATTTCAACCTCATTATTTTTACCATCTACAGTTCCTTTGCTATCACCGCCTTCCGCGTTACACGTGCACATGAAACACAATAACATTTGGAATGCGACATTTTAGGCATAAAAAAGTGATACATCATCATTAACAACCATCTACCACAGCGACATGATTAGACTGAAAAATTGGCATAGTCTCTCTTCGTTTCTTGTATAGAATTGATTAAGAAAGAGAGATTACGCGTCACATTTTTTTTTAAGTAATCTACAAAGAAGGGTATGCATCGACCCAATTGAATGTAAATACGAATTAGGGAGACTAAGAGAAAAAGGAATAGTGGCAGGCAGCCCTTTCCATGAAGATTCAAAAAGTATTCCCAAACGCCTTCCATCAAAAATTTTGAAACTTTTATAATTTCAATCTATTAGATGGACGCACCATCATGATGAAGCTCATTGATGGTTAAAAGATGTCCGCAAGATCCAAATAAGATACACAAGAAAAGAGTAAAAGGCCCGACAGGCGGAAAAGTCTCTACAAAAGTCAATAGCTATCGTATTATTGTATTCCTAGATTGGAAATACAATTACAAAAACCATGTTATTTAAAATATGTTATGAAAAATTGTCGCAGAATACGTCTCGCCAGATTACATGAACATTGATATTATGATCCAAGAGTTGGAAAAAAGGTAATATTATCTGATTACCCGAAGAATCATGTACATTCTAAGCAGATGAAGAGTGTGCATAATCAATAATTATTAGAAAAAAGTTGAGAAACCTTTTCCCTTGAATGGAAAAAAATCTATTGACAAACTTCGCAAAGATACCTGTAGAAGGAAAAATTTAGAAACGCAGAAGGAAATCCGAGAAAACTATCAACAAATCAGGTGTACCCAGAAGTGGAGTTTGCATAAATTTATCGATGCCCACTTTTTAAACCGTTCATGAAAGAATTTGAGTCGGATTTGTAAAAAAGATTTCAAATGACTACAGGATCAAACCCAGATACTTCAAGTTGACGCTATCTTTGTCAAGCAAATGAAGCAAAAAAATTAATTGAAAGTCTAGAAAAGTGTTTTAACAAGACCTAAAACAAAGAACAGTTCGCAATCACTTGAACTAGCAAGGATGAAGACCAAAGATTGTGGAAAGCTAGTGTCAAAAACTTACTTGTATTTGAAGCAAAACTACACTATAAGCAGAACTTTCGCGAGATGTCACATTCAGAATATGAATTTTTAGATCAGTTATGGTATTTATAAGGTTCTATGGTATTTATAATGAGAACAATAAAAAATAAAAAATTGGTATCATTTTTGGAAACCTTGCAGCCACAATTGGATTCTCACAAATATGCGCCTAAGGTTACAATAGACATTTAGAATCGAAACATTTTTTAATCTGTTACATTACATTAATTTTATTTTTTTCACGTTCAAATTTATATTTCTGTCGTATTTTTATCAAAATTGCCAAAAGGACTGATTTTTTTAGCGCATTAAAACAATAAAAAAATTTATTTTGGCCGGCTTTTTTCCCAAAAATGTAGTCGGCTTTTTTCTCACACACAAACAGATTCAGCCCGTAGAAACGAAAGTATTTGAAGACTGTTCTTCTGAGCACAATCGTTCATCATGAATTTTATTTGAATTTTTTTTCATTTTTTTTTGTACAGGAATGTTAAACTAATGATTTCAACCAAAAATTTCATAGATAATGGCCACGTTTGATAAAGTTTAAATCATTCAGTTAATTCCAAACCTCCCTCAAGGGGCATCAGAACGGTACGCTTAATTGATCAACGGTTCCTTCTCCGGATGTGTTTTTTTCTGCTTCATTAATTTATACTTAATTTCTAAATTTGCGTAAAAGACCTTTAATATAAATTTTTTCAAAAAAAGTATCCAGCTCAAACTGTATTTTTCAAATTTCTTTGTTTGTAGAAAAAAAATTAACCGTAACATGTTCTACCTAAGAGCTCATACATTATCTCCAATAGTCCTCTATTTCAGATCAAATAACATCCAGATCACCACCCCGCAGTTTGAAAAAACTTTTAGAATAAACTTGATGACTATCCCTGCTCCTAAACTATCTTTAATTTCTTGCCAGTATCTAGCAAGCAACCTAACAGAGAAGGTATTGACAAATATCACAATCACATTTGAAATTTAGCAACAAGATACTAACGCTTTTCACACAGATTAAAAACTACTTTACAGAGGAAATTAACAAACATTTTAAATATTTTTAAATTTTAAATATCCCTAATTCTTAAATGTACGACGTTGAAAGAAATCCTGCATAAAAATACTGAAGCATATAAGTCATATCTAACTAAGCATGAGTTATCCCATTTAGTCGATTCGTTTTAAGTGATACAAGTAATTATAAGCGATAGCTTCACTAATATAATCAAAAGCACTCATATTTTTGTCACACTAATAAATTATGACCCTCTTAAAAATAATCTTTTCAATGCGCTTTTATTCCAAAAAAAATCGGTTTTTCGTCTCACATCATAAAATTTAACCCGTCGAAACGAGAGTAATTGAAGAGTCTTCCTCTAAATACAATCATTTATTCTAATTTTCAATTGAACAATTTTGCACTTTTTGCTTAAGATTCAAAAGCTAATGATCGCAATGGATTGTAGAAAAACCACCCCCCGGGATGACCTCCATAAACCGAAAATGCGAATCATACAATTTCATCTACTTAGTCTATGGAAAAATGCTAGTCATACAATTTTCATACATTTTTGCAAATTTTGTTTAATCGAATTTCAAAGGTATTTTGTTGTTATTTTGTTATCGAAATTGGTATCTCTTTATAAAAAAGGAAAAAAAATAATATGAAAAAAAAATGCTAATCATACAATTTCCATATATTGAAATTGTATGATTAGCTTTTTTTTAAATAAAATTTTTGTGAAAAAAACGCTTTGAGCAATCATTTCGATTGCTGACAAAACATTTAAGCGTTTTTTGGGCTGCTACAATTGAAAACTTTGACTTTTTATTTTTGTTTTTTGAAAAAAAACACTAGTCATACAATTTCCATATATGAAAAATTGCTAGTCATACAATATCCATATTTGAAAAAATACTAATCACAGACCTTTCAGGCATTTTTCTGTTCATATGGATTTGTATGGAAAGTGTATGACTAGCATTTTTCCATATATGGAAATTGTAAGACTAGCATTTTTGCTCAACCCGGGCCTTTTTATGACCCTTTTAGTTTTTTCACAAATGGCCTCACCCACCAGTTAAGGATGGATATCCTGAATATACTTTAAAACTGGGTAAACTCAACATGCTCACTCACTTTTAGAACAACCCACATAGTGTTTACCAAGAAGGGTTATTATATGAATAAGTTCTAAAAGAAAAAAAACTTTGCAAAAGGGACTAATGACTTGATACTAGAACCTAGTATGCGTCTATTACATCTAGTAGAAGATGCTTTGCAAAACCTTTTATTGAAGTACCACTAGGTTCCAAAACATCCCAAGCTAATCTAATCGTTGCAAATTTAATTTTTTTTTACCAGACTTCTCTAGACAAGATGAAACAAAGTGAAAGTTTTGTTGGACAAATACACTATTCGAAAAGAACACTGGGAAAAAGATTGAAAAATGATCACTTTTGGCCTAGTTTCTACAAACAACTTTATATGTTTCACAACTTCTCTCAAGACTTCCAAGAGGACCACCCGGGTGATGCTGGTGATCTGCTTTTCAGCTAAAACTACATCACTTATGACTCTATGAGGCCGAGTGAAATATTTTCCATCGGTCATCTAATGCAAATCAACTAGAACCTGAAGTTACGAAATTTTGCCACTCTGCATTCTACACATTTCAATGTATGTGACACATGTCAAACCCAAATTCTACTTGAAATAACGCCAACATTATAACTTCATAACTGAGAACTTTATAACTTCACAACTTTTAGTGGATGATCTGTGCAAGCCGTTCCCAGTGTCAGTTATATCTCTTCTCGCCTTATATATTAATAAGATTGGAAATTTTTTGTTACTAATAAGGTTGATCTTCAAACCTCTTCAATTTTCAGTTTTTTCTAAAGGATCTACAATGATCTAGGAAATATGACTAAGATAAAAATAAAAAATACTTAAAGCAAAAAGAAAATCTTCACTTCTCAAATGCTGCTCAGGCGATGTATGGTGATTTGTTTGCAAATAGACCGTTTTTACTGTCCCCTACTATGACGATTATTTTTTGGGATTTACAGTTGGTCTTAATAGTTTAATTTTGAAGGCCAAATATGTTTTTCTGGCTAAATCATCAGTTCATACAACAATTTTTCAACACAGTTTCACCTTGTGTGATAGTAAAAAACTGCAGGAAGATGGTGAAAAGATAGAAAGGGCTCACAAAGAACTTTTTTCAAGTGCCTGCTGAAGGTTTCAATTACTTTTTTTTCGCGCATGTTCAACGTATTCTATTGTGAAAAAGTATTCCATTTTTAGAAAAAAAGAGTATCAAATACCACTATTAAGAAAAAATGCGCAAACGAGTTGTAACGAGTTGAGCAAGCGTTCAGCAGTAAGTTGGCCGAAAGTTGTTGAATATTTTTCATTTTACTATTATACATAAATTATTTTTCTTCAATAGAAAGACTGTTGAAAATCAAAAGATTAAAATTAGTTAAAAACAAAATTTATTTTATGCAAATTTTCTGCTCAGTTATTACACTCATTACTTAAAACGATATATTTTGCCGTTGTAGAAAACAGTTGATCACCAGTTTCACGCAGCACATTAAAACATAGAGCACATAGAAAAATTACGTTGGACCAAACTTTTTGATAATAGTTGCTGCTCATAAACGGACATCATTCAAACGGACATCATTTTTTTTTTCAAAAATTATGCGACTTTTTCGCAAAAAAATTAAAAAAATGGCTTCTCTTAATACATCGACAGGTGATGTCCAAATTCAATTTAAAGAATCTGAATCAAGGCAATACGTCAATGAAAACGAGCAGGCTTCTGACGGTAAAAAAAATGGCGATATCTACGATGAGCCTGCAAATATTGACGAAAACGGCAGAAAAACAAACAACAAACAGCTACAACAAAGCAATTCGTTTGTGAGATGCTTGATGATTTTGGTGGTTGTACTGGTGGTAATTGTTGCTCTAATGGCAGTAAGTACAATCTCAAATATTGGATTTAGTAGAAGCGATGAAATTCAATTCAAAATTCACCACAACATGCTCCAAAACAACTCAGTATGTTAGGGTTTAAACTTTTAAAATCTCAGTTCAGGACTTTTGTAAATGTTTGTGCTGATCTTTTTCCTGTAGGCAGCAAATGGTCACCTAGGATAATATTCTATATGCTGGATTGCTTTTTTGATCCTTTTTTAATTCATTTTTTCATTTCTTCCTATCAAAAACTGCATGTTCATTTCTTTTTGGTCTAACTCTTGACGAAGTTTGAAGTTGCTTGCAATTTTACAGGAGTTACAATTTACAACAAAATTTAATGACACATTTGAAAGTGAATTCCCGGGTTGACCAAAAATGCTTATCCTACAATTTCCAAATATGAAAAAATGCTTATCCTACAATTTCCTACAGTTTCGTAGACTCAGAAAATTGTAAAAAAAACTCTAGGATAAGCATTTGTTCATAAATGAAAAGTGTAGGATAAGCATTTTTTCATAAACCAAAAATTTGATTTTTTCTAAATTTTATTTAACAAATTTTTTGGGATGTGATCGTGACCGAACACAAGTGACTAAACCCATGGTGTATTCAACACTAGAGTTCCCAAAAGGTTGATCGTCTGTCATTGACAATGCATTGGAAGCGATCTGAAATGATATACTGAAAGCATCAAACTTTTAATTTTTTCAAAGATGATTTTCTTTAAAAATTGAATTTTCAACTTATCAAACATTGATGAAGGCATATATAAACATGCCTTACAAAAAAACAGGAGTTTTTAGCCTGTTTAAAAAAGTTATCCAGAAAAACGGAAAAAACACAAATTTTTGTCCATCGTGGACTACGTTATGCTAACAAAAAATTAAAATTTGCAAGCAATTTATTTTTTTTGGAAAAGTTTGTTTGAGTATAAAATTCGATTCGAGGTTGAAGCAATTTTTGGGGCATTTTCAATTTTACTTAGAAATTTTTCAAAAAAATTGTATGAAAATTGAATGATTAGCATTTTTCTATACATTTGATGTAGGCAATTGTATGATAAGCATTTTCGGTGTGAAGAAATTTAAGATAAGCATTTTCGGTTTATGGAGGTCAGCCCGGGATGTTTTTTGTTTTTCAAACATTCTTTATACCTCAATTCTTATTTAACTTTAGTTTCTAGGGTAAATAAACAATGGATGGTTAAAATTTTAGGTATCTGTTGTCATTCTTATGTTTCTGACGGTTAAATTATCCAATGAAATAAATGAGACCAAGGCGCAATTAGCAGATCTTTCCAGCAGCATTGAGAGCGTAGATTTCAGCTTGGGAGAACTTTCGGTGAGTTTTTGTTCCATCTTGTATTTTTTGTATCGACTTATTTTTTGATCAAACCCAGAATCTGCATAATTTCATGCGGCTGTGCTGAGAAAACCCTAAAAGAGCTTGGGGCCTAATTGAACTGCGCAATCAAAATTTTGAAGACTTAAAACTTTACAGTGAAAGCGTAAAACATAAGACTGTTGCGCTCATAAAAGGTTTTGAATTGAGATCAGGCACGTGATTTTAAATTACACTAAATGAAAAATCGTAATTTTGATATCAGCAGTCTGAAACGCATATCTTATCTTTTTTCAAAAGTAATTTGTTATTCGAGAGCAGTTGAAAGAAAACCAATGAATTATCAATTAATTGTATCTTTTGTGCTAAAGTCACTGAAAAACGTCAAAATGCTTGATAGTAAAAAAACTGTGGTTTTCTGGAAACAATGAATTTTTACCAGACATGAGAAGAAATTCACCGGTCTTTTTGTCTCACAAATGGCAGTTTGTTGTAAGGAATAGTCGCATGCCCATAAATATTGGCAAGAAGCAATGACGGAGAACTAAATACGCGTAGCCGGCTGAGAGGCAATTAGTTGAGCGGAACTCGAATTCAAAAAAGTTATAATTACCGCAGTCTTTTAGTCTTTTAATAAAATATTTAGTGCAAAAAGGTGACTCTGAAATAACTTGCAGTCTATGAAAAAATAAAATAAAACTTTTTAAAATAATTAAGTTCATTTACTGCATCAGACACAAGCAGAGGTACGAACCAACAACAAACCAGCAGAAGAATAAAATATATATTTTTCCAAACTGTTTCTGATGACATTTTGAGTAAATTTTCGGCTTAGAGTGGACTTCAATTTTACAACTTAGCGACTGTCATCACGTAAAAAACATTAGAATAACGGATTACAGTCATCTGAATAGAATAACTTTAGAAGGGCTCATAAAAAGCTGCTAAATTTAGTGTCTGAATGGTGCATCATTTGTGGATCTAAGAGGAAAAGATGTGGGATTGGAGATAGTTCTACAGAGGCGGGAACGATTTGGCGACAATATTTTGTTCAATCGCGGATTTGAGGCATATGAGGCAGGTTTTGGAGATATCTGTGGAGCAGGGGATTTGTGGTTTGGGCTACAGAGAATTCTTATTTTGACCCAGATTGGAAAATGGAATGTCCGAATTTCGATGCGCCAATTCACAGACGATGAACTCTTCTGGGGAGAATGGACAGGTAAATTTAAAAAAATCATCATAAAACATCCACTTGATTTTTTAACAAAAAAATTCGAATTTTTCTTAGTAAAAAAATCATAGCAACTTCAAAAAACTGTGTACACACGAAATCAGAAAATTTTCAGTGCAAATGTATGCTTTTTATAATTTGACTTAATTTCATATTAGTGTAATAATTCGTTCATACCAACGATTTTCAGTATATAAGATTTTGACAACCATTTTTTTTCATTCAAATGATTTAACGTGATATATTACCACCTTTTTTGATTTCATCGTTATGTTTTCTTCACAAAGTTTCAAACTTATATAAGCTTGATGAATTGTCTGGGAGTTTTTGTGTAAAACAAACTAAATGTGGCTGCAAGAGGACAAACGTCCCTGTTTTAGACTTCAAGGTTCACACTATTCCCTTTTATTATCTGTCATTGGGCCCATTGGTGGCTAACAGTGACAACATGGTGAACACCACTGGTTTAGCAAGCGGCTTCGACTATCATAATGGAGAGGCCTTCAGTACTCATGATAGGGATCGAGACACATCTCCTGGAAACTGTGCTTCAATCAGAGGAGGAGGAGGTTGGTGGTTTAAAAACTGTCAGCGTATGATGCTCAACGGAAACAGGACTACTTCAGAAAACTTGGAGAGCCTTGTACAAATGAATTACTGGAACGGTAATGAAGGAACGATACCGCTTGCATCAAGTGAGATTACAATGATCCGCGTTGGCTGAATTGAAAAATTAGAAGCCAGGAGAAATATCTATCAAAGAATATCTAATAATCATAAAATTTTGAAGCTCAACCATGAGTTTAATAAACAGAAGTTTTGGACATTAATTATCCAACTACACACTGAATATAAAACACTAGCGCTGCAACTAAAAAAGTTTTCAGAATGTTCAAGCAGCTAACATTTTGCTGTTATTGCTTTATTTTGAGCAGGAAGATAATGATAACTATTAACCAAAATTTTTGTCTACAAATAACCTAAAACTGTAAACATTGGAACTACTCACCTTGATCAAACATGTTTGATTGCCATGATTAAATATATTTTATATATTTGATTCAATGTAGTGTTTATTTTTAACCGGCTTAAATAAAAAAATCATCCGAGGTTTGAACTCAATTTTCAAACAATAAGCAACTGGTGAGCGAGTACAGAACAGGTTAGAACACAATAGTCATGATAATAATAGTCTTTTTCCTTCATCGAGTCGTGTTTTGTTCGTGGTGTAATGAGATGAAAACTCAGAACTTAGGCCAATAGATTAGTAAAATGCAACAAAAACTACAAAAAAATGCTTCTTTATCCATTAAAAAAATTCAAGAAAGGGCTAAAAAAAATACGTAAAAAATTAAAATTACAGGAGTAAAAATAAGTTATCATACCTGATTTTTTATTCATCTGCCCAATTTTTTAAGTCTGTGCACAAACTTTGGAAAAATCTATTTGATATTTGATCAGATCTACGAAATCAATGCAATTCACTATTGTTGATGTCTATATTGTTCAGTTAGCAATTTGAAATTTTTTTTGGTATATCAATCATTTCTTTTTGATAATTATTTATTAACTGATTTTGCTTGTATTTACAAACACCAAACATTCGAAACAAAAACTCTTCCTAGCTTCATTGGTCAACATGAAAGCATTTCTGACTATGCAGTGATAGAGAGACCTTTATATCACAAAAAGAAGCCTAAAGATAGCAAAGGTAGCCGGTTCCTGTGTAACTGATCACGTTTTCTGATCACGTTAAGATTTTTTTTCGTGTCGAAAATTGCGTTTTTCTGAGTGTAGCTAGAAAAAAACTTTTCTGGGAAAAATATGTTTGCTTCACTAATATCGAATCTTTCTTCAAATTTATCAAGCTCGAGATTGTTTTTTTTTCATATAACCTCATTCTTTTCTTGATAGTTTGTGCTTGAAAGGTGCAAAATGATAATTCAACAATTTAAAATTCAATTTGTAACCTGATAAGTGCTTTGCGCATTCTAATTGATCGCTCAATTTAAAAGTAGACTGAAAAGCAAAGTTGAATTGTGTTTATCTCGACATTGAGAAGGTTTTTCGGTTTTTATTAATATCGTTCATTTCACAAACATAGTTTGTTTTTTGTATACCACTCGATCTTTTCTCATGATTTTTCAGAGTGCCTATATAAAAATGATTAGGTGAAAAAATGGATAGGCGCACAACTTGCTGTTTGTATGTCAGTGGAAACCAAGCACAAGTCTTAAAAAGTGTTCAAAATATTAGTGGATTCATCTCAAGAAATTCCGTGACTTCCTTTTAGAACTATCAGATTCCGCGAAATGTAATTGAGCTCCGAAATGTAAGTGAAGTCAGCAAAATTAGTGTGGAGAATACGAAAATGTACGCAGATTCCGAGAATTGTTAGCGGGATTTTGCAATTTCAATTCTTTAACTGAACTAAACCAGTTCTTGCTCATGAACAATTAAAACCTAGAGCTAGAAATAATATATAACGGATGGGGAAGTTCAAAAGCAAAGACTTAACTATTGTCGTTGGAAACCACGAAAAAATCTGAAATCATTGTTAAACCGGAAACAAGGTTGTACCCCTTAAGTGTTTGGGATCAATTTCTCAGCAAGCTGTTTTGGAAATCATTGTCTGGGAAACACCTCACAATATTTAATAAGCGAAACATTTTCATAGATTAGTGAGTCGCTTGGTAATATGCATGAGTTTAAAACTCTAAGTTGTAACTTAATCACTCTCCGGGTTGACCAAAACTTCTAATCATACAATTTCCATTTATGAAAAAAACTTCTTGTCATACAATGCCATACGTACAGAACATTGTATGAAATCTCTATGATAAACATTTTTCCATATATGAAAATTGTATGATAGGTGTTTTTCCATAAACCAAAAATTTTGATTTATTTTTTTCTAAATTTAGTTTCTGAAAACTTTTCGGTTGTGTTTGCAACCGAACACAAGTCACAAAGACCTTGGTTACTCAAAACACCAAAGGTTGGACGGTCTTGGATTTACAATGCATATCAAACGACCTGAATTTGGATGTTTTTCACAATTGATATAACAAAAGTAACGAATTTTTATTTTTTTGGCAAAATTTTTAAATAATGATTATTTTAAATTTTCAAATTTTCAAGTAATCAGACATTGATCAAGGCTTACATTAACACCCCATACAAAAGAAATAGGAATTTTCAGCGTTTTTGAAAAAAAATTTAAGTGAAAAGAAAATAAAAGCAAAATTTATCGTATCCAGGACTACGTTATGTACACAAAATATTAAATTTTGCATGCAAATAAAAAAAATTTCGAAAATGTTTGTTTGCGTACAAAATTCGATTTGCGGTTGAAAAAAAACCAAAAATGGGCCAAATTTTTAAAATTACTTTCAATTTTTTGTGTCGCCATCAAAAAAATGCCAGTCATACAATTCCCATATATGGGAATTGTATGATAAGCATTTTTTTCAAAAAACGAGAACCTCAGTTTTTATCACCAGACTGTTTTATAAGAATCAAACATCCACAGAAATGAGTTTATACCAGTTTTCAACCATTTTTAAAATTTGTATGAAAATTGTATGACAAGCATTTTTCCACACACTTGTTGTATGGAATTGTATGATAACCATTTTCGGTGTATGGAGGTCAACTCGGGTCTGTTGTTTTCTAAAACCTGATCTAATAATATTGTATTGTCAGCATTTAAAAGTATCATTTGAAACTGTTCTTGTCCTAGTCTGTAAGTTGTTTTCTCTTAAATCGAATTGAAATTCGAATTAAAATTTGAAATAACTGGCAAATAAAAAAAATGATGAAAGCTAAGTTCAGTTAATTTTTTTAAAAAGAATAATTCACGAAATAGCCGAATCCAATGGGATTTCCTTTTTTTCAGTATTTGAGATTGTTGTTTTTGGTCTTCATTGTTTTGGTTTTCAATCTTTCAGTGTTTGAGATTTAGCTGTTGGGTTTAAACTGAATTGAACTGCTGTGAGTAATTGAGTTGGATTGCGGGTTGAGTTGGGTTGAGATTGAATTAACCTGGACTGAATTTTGAACATTTGTCAGTATATGAGATGAATATGATATTTGTCAGTATATGAGATGAAATAGAAAAACTGCAATAAGTGAGATCGAACTAACTTGAAAGAGTCCCTGAAGAAAAACAGATTAAATTTTAGTTTGTTTTATAACGTTATTTGTTATTGCATACCAAACAAAATGCGGGTTCCTTTCACAACTTGTAGATTCCGCTTACAGTTAAGGACTCCAGGACTCCGTTACAATAGGCATATAAGTTGTTTATGCATGGATTCCACAATCTGTTCCAGGTTCCGCAATATTTGCTGCAATTTGATCTTATTGTCGAGCAATTTTGAGCAACACAGTGTTTTAACTAATTAGAATTGTTCGTGGAATCCAATACATCAAAGAACTTAAAGATGAAGCAGTGTCGCCGATTTCCAATTATGACCCAATTGTATGACCCAACTGATCAGTCAAGCTTAATAATTGAATATGATATTTATAATCTTTAGGAAGTAAAAAGGCAAAAAATCAGACTTTCAAAGATTTCGAAGTCGTTGAGAAAAAGTTATCTCAAACTCTTCTCAGAATCGAAGAATCAAATTTAAACTATAGTTTAGACTGGGACCTCGAAGTTTGCGAAAAACTGCATGACTACTTTCAAGGTTTTCCTTTTCCCGCTACACAATAAGCTTTGAAATTTATATCAATGAGTAGGTTTGAAATGCTTAAGTCACTGGATGAAAAAACGCTCAAAGATTTTTAAATTAATGCAGACTTTTAAGGTACAATTTCAACGAACAAGTAGATATACGTGTTACACTATTTGGCACTGAAACTCTATGTTTAATTGGGAAAGAAACATATAGGACTTAGCAAAATCTTCAGTTTAAATAAATGAAGTGGACGGAGCCTTTTGTTTAGCTGGTTAAATGTCTGCAGAAATCAGCAAAAATCAAGTTATACTAAGGTTTTATAAAATTTTTGTCATTTCATTTTTCAAAAAAAACGATACAGTCAAAACAAAGTAGAAAAAAATACGATAGAATTTTTTGGATCTGAATCTGAGTTCCGTCAGACAACTTCGCAGAGTAATATGAAGTTTTTTTTTCAAATAATCGACGAACAAGTTGCCACGGTCTCTTTCACTGTTGAGAGAAGAAATAGGGATAAGCCCACAAATGTTGGTGCAGTATTACTAAATTGGCTAACAGGTTTTCATTTGAATTCCATTAACTGAAAAAGAAACCGGAAGTTGCGTTGAAATTGCTCTCAAGCAATACACGTATAGTTTCCTTTTTAATGCGAAGACATTTAAGGAGCAACACTTGAGACCAGACTTTGATTTGTTCAACTATCCCGACAATCATCAACGAAATCTCAATAATATCTTTTATGTGTCCCACTCCTCCTCAAAAATAACTTCTAAATCTGCCTGACAAATTGACTTTTCTGTATGTTGATATATATGGCTTCAATTAGACATGCACTAAAAAGTGTCTGGCGAAGGAACTACAAGCCATGAACAGACGACGCTGCTGTGTAATTGGTTCAATGAAGGTTCATTGAAAAAAATTATCATCAGAGTGAATCATTACACTATGAATACCAAACAACACGAAATAGATCTCTTTTACTTTTAGGCAGCAACCGATACCTTCTTAATGATGATATAAGCTCCCTACCTTTCGAAAACCATCTGATAGCTAATGATAGTTT